AGGGTAATATTTGCCTCCAGGCATGAGTTAGGGAGAATTTCTTACCTTTCAGTTTCATTAAAGAGTTTCAGATGTATTGGCATTAAATCTTCTCAAAACTTCTTATACAGTTCAGCTGTGAGGGCCAGGGATATAGCTCAATGCCATAAGTGCTTGCTTGGCAAGTATAAGGTCCTGAGTTCAATTCCTGGTATCAAAAAAAAAAAAAAAAAATTCAGCTGTGAAGCTATGAGGACCCAGGCCTTTCTTTGTTGATAAGTTTTTAATTATGTTTTCAATTTCATTGACTGATATTGGGTGATTCAGGATTTTTATCTTTTTGATTCAGCCTTGGTAATTCATATGTATCTAGGAATCTATCCATTTCTTCTGCGTTTTCCATCCTATAAGAGTAAAGATTTTTGAAGTAGGTATTGGTGATCTTTGAATTTCTACAGGATCCGTAGTGATTTCACCCTTTTCATTCTTTATTGCATGAATTTGACTTTTTTCTTTCTTTTTGGGGTAAGGTTGGGGGTTTATCAGTTTTATATATTCTTTCAAAGAACCAACTCTTTGATTCATTTAATCCTTTGTATTGTTTTCTTAGTCTCCATTGCATTAACTTCTGCTCTGATCTTTGTAATATGCTGTCTTCTTTGGGCTTGACTTACTTTTTTTCTGAAAGCTTGGGTTAAAGCATAAGGTTATTTATTTGTGCTTGTTCTGCTTCCTTATATGAGAATTTACCACTACAAATTTCCCATCTGAAGACTGTTTTCACTGTGTCCCACAGATTCCCATAAGTTGTATCTGCATTTTTGTTTGATTGTAAATATTGTTTAATTTCTTCTTCAATTTCATCTGTGACCCATTGGTTGTTCAGGAAGGTGTTATTTAATTTTCATGTGTTTATGGAGCTTTTGTTATTTCTTTAGTCAATAATTTCCAATTTCACAGCACTATGATGAGATAATATGAATGGGATAATTTCAATGCAAAAATTCCTTTGCATTTACTTAAGCATGTCCTATGGGCTAGTATATGGTCTATTTTAGAGAACATCCTGTGTGCATCTGAGAAGAATGTGTATTCTGCTGTTGTTGTGTAGCACACTGTAAAGGTCTGCGGAGTCTATTTGTTCACCAGTATGGTTCGGTTCTGTTATTTCTTTGCTGATTTTTTTCTAGTTGAGCTATCTCTTTGTGACAGTGGTGTGTTAAAGTCCCCCATTATGATTGTGTTACTGCTTATTTGATTTTTCATGTCTATTCAAAATTGCCTTATATAGTTGGGTGCTCCTGTATTTGGTGCATATATATTTATGATTATTAGCTCTTTCTCTTACAGTTTTCCCCCAACCAGTATGTAGTGACCTTCTTTGTCTCTTTTCATCATTCTTGGTGTGAAGTTCACATTGTCTGCAAACAGAATAGCTACTCTTGCTTTTTTCTGGGTTCCCATCCCATGGGGTACTGTTTTCCACCCTTTGACTTTTGATCTATGAATTTACTTTTATGTTAAATGTGTTTGCTGTAAGTAGCATATATTTGGATCTTGTTTCTTGATCCATTCTGCCAGTCTGTTTCTTTTAATTGGTGAATTGAGGCCATTTACATTAATGGTTTTGACTCATGTATTGGCTTATCTATGTCATGTTGTTTTCCTGCTATTGGTTTCCAGCTTTTCCCCTCTGTTTAATTGATTGCCCTGCTTGGTGATTTCTTTTTATTGTTGTTCTTGTAATTGTGATCATTTTTATCTCTTTCTAGAATATCTTTCAGTACTCTTTGTAGGGTTGGTTTGGTGATCATGAGTGTCTTCAATTGTTTTTTGATGTGGAAGTCTCTTATTTCTCCACTAATTTTGAAAATTAGTTTTTCAGGGTACATCAGTCTGGGTTGGAAGTTGTTATCTTTCAGGACCTGAAAGACTTCATTACAAGCTCTTCTTGTTTTGGTGGTTTGTGTTGAGAAATCTGCTGTGATTCTCTTGGGCTTTCCTTTATAGGTGATCTGTTTATTTTCTTTAACAGCTTTTAATATTCTGTTTCTATACTGAATTTCTGGGATCTTGATTATTACATGTCTGGGTGTAGATTTGTTTTGATTATGGCTAATTGGAGTTTTATATACCTCATTTATCTCTGTCAGATTCTTTTCCCATGCTTGGGAAATTTTCTGCTATTACTTTTTTTTGTGTGTGTGTGTTTGAGACAGGGTCTCGCTATGCCGTTCAGACTGGCCTTGAGCTCACTTTGTAGCTCAGGCTGGTTTCAAACTCCCAATGATCCTCCTGTCTCAGCCTCCCAAATGCTGGGATTACGGTGTGTGCCACCACACCCAGCTACTGCTATTACTTCGGCACATAGTCCTTTTACATCATTTATGTTGACTCCTGCTTTTTTTGTTGACCCCTATCGGTCTTATATTGTTTTTCTTTGCATCATCTTGCAGCTGTTGAATTATTATTTCCTGGTTCCTTGTTATTTTTAAGAGATCTTTCCATTAATGATTGCTAGCTGCAATGCTATCTTCAAGGTCTGAAAGTCTATCTTCAGTTTCATTCAGGTGGTTTTGCCTGCTTTCAGTGGAATTTTTAATTTCCTGGATTTCTCTTTGAGTCTGTTTCATGCATTCAAATTTTTTCTTATATCGTTCATTTAAGGTTTCCATCAATTTTCTATGCTACTCTATTTTTTTATCTATGTCTTCTTTAGATGTGCTAAGCAAGCCTTTCATTATGATTGTCATTTCTTTTTTTACCAGAGAGATTATTTCTGATCTGATACTTCTATAGCCTGATGGAGTTGTTTCTTTACTTCAGTTGCTATCATTTCAGAAATTTCAGGTGTATGACTTCCAATTTTTTCTATGTTGATGTCTGCTGGACTTGTTCTCTGTGGGCTGGAGGTCTGAGATTGCATTTTGTTCCTTCATTTTGACATTTTCTATTTCAAAAGTTTTTTTAAATTTTGTTTTCTCTGGTGATCCTTGTGATTTTGGTAGTAGGTAGCTATATGACTAATATCAAGGCACCTCCAGGAATAGTCTTTAGGAGGTTCTTGGTTTGTGTCTGTCCCAAGGTCCTACCTTCTCAATTAATTTTGAGTGAGATATTGGTTTCTGTTTGGTTTAGTCTCCAGTCTTTTGGTGTAGAGCTGTGGTGAGGTTATTACCGCAGAACTTCCCAATATTGTTACACAAGGGAGAACGACTGATTGCAATAGATATGATATCCTAGCTACAGTGGTACAATTAGTATTAAGCACAATTTAGAAACTGATCAACTGTGTAACTATTGATTTTGTACTTTAGACCATAGGAGCAAAGTCTATAGTTATATAACAGAACCAATTGTAAATTAGGAGTTTGTAAGCAAAGTGTTTCCCCTTGTTAGAGTGGATATCCTAGATTCCTCTGGACAAGACAGTTGCCATGTCCTGAGTGCTTACTATGCTGGCTGCCCTACTTGCAGTGTAGGAGTATGGACCAGGCACCAGGGTTCCTCCAGACTGAGGCTCCTAGATGGCAGAGGGGCCGTGGGTGGGGTTTTTCCTCTCCCACATAGCTCACCAAGGTTCACAAGGCTACTTGTTACTCCCATTATAGTGGAGGGTGGGGAGCAGGGTTTCTCCCCTCCCAAGCAGGTCACTGAAGCTGTGGAGGCTCACTGAGGCTCTGTGTGGCTCCCACAATCTAAAAAAACCTTTTTTGGAGACAGTGTCTTGCTATGTAGTTCAGGATAGCCTCCAACTCATGGCAATCCTCCTGCTCAGACTCCCAAGTTCTGGGATTCAGGCGTGTGCTACCATGCCTGATGTAAAGAGTCAATTACATAATTGTGCTTTGGAGAAAATTTTAACAGGTGTTCCTGTTATTCCAGTTCATTTCACAGTGAACATGTAATTGGAAAATTTACAAAATGAAGTATATTCCCTCTCCTCTTCCCAACATAACCAAACATCAAAGAGTTCTCTCCATTTTCTCACTGACTCTTCAGTTCACTGATCTGCCTTGTCCATCATTTTGCTGGAAAAGTTCCTACCAAAGTTGCAGATGACTATACTCAAAGGACATTTTGAGCTTGGCACTGTTTTTTTTTTTTTTTTTTTTGGTTTTTTCTCCGGTACCGGGAACCGAACTCACGACCTTGCGCTTGCCAGGCAGGCGCTTTTGCCGCTGAGCTAAATCCCCAGCCCCTGAGCTTGGCACTGTTAATTACCCCATCTTAAAATTCTTTTCCATTTCTGTGATTTTATCCTCCTTGATTAGCCATTCCTTGTTAGTCTAGATCCCAGAGTTTTCCTTCTTTCCACCCATCCCTTGGCTTTAGATAGATGGTTGCCAATGTGCAACCTCTTGTACTGTCTGTGTAAAACAGTACTCAGATTATCTTAAATATACCATCTCTTTCCTTTGGGGTCTTCACTGATACCCTGACACCATACCCTAAACTCCCCTTAAAACCTGTCATCAATTTCTCATTGATTCTATCATAAAGGGCCTAACTCCTTTACTATGGCTACCACATCCCCACATACTCTGGCCCTTCCTATTTCTCAAAACTCATTGTTTAATTTTAATTTTTAACAGTATACTGGATTTTAAGATTTTAATAACAGTAAATTATAGTTTTTTGTGTTATTTTAAACTTTATATTTTAACATTAAGCCAGGTATGGTGGCACATGCCCAGTACTCAAGAGACCGATGCAGGAAGATGAGTTTAAGACCAGTGGATCATGAGTGTGAGGCTAGCCTTGGCTACATAGTGAGGTCCTGTCTCCAAAAGTCAAAAAGAAATATTTCTGACTGAAAAATGATGGGCCGTAATCCAAAAGATTCTCATACACTGAACTTTTCACTAACCTTTCACAAGTGTTAATGACAGTAACTACATTAAATGATAAAAACCAGGAAATGGATTCTGATATGATGCAGTATTCTTACATAATCTACAAACCTGACTTAATTTTCAGTTGTTCCAGTGGTTTTTGTATTTTGTTGTTGTTTTTTCTAGAAACAAGATTCCATGTTACATGAAATCGTCATGTCTTTCATGTCGTGATGTATGCCCTTTAATCTGGAACAATTCTTTTACCTTTCTTTGACATGCATCACTGTGACCCTTGAAGAGCAGAGGAGCATTATTTAGAATGTACTGCAACTTGAATTTTTCTGACTTTTCTTCATGATTTCATTCAGGCGATGCTTTATATATATATATATATATGGCCACAGCAGTGTATCATGTGTTTCACAGTGCATGCTGTCCAGGAGCCCAAGGATGTCAGTCTGTCCTGTGGCTGATTGGTTTCTTTACTGTGAATTACTGTTTTCCCTTTGTAATGATAAGTATTACACGGTACAATTGTCAATATTTAAATATCCTGTTTTTTAAAAAATCATATTTTGCCTACCAGTTTTATCACCTATTTATGATTCTTGCTTGCTATGGTGTTTATCTAATGGTGGCTTTCTTTTCTAATATTAATGGAATTTTACTGAAAGGAAGGGGTGCGGGCCCTTCTCCATTTGTTTATTTGTGTGGTATGGATTTATAGATTTTGTTATCTTCTATAAATTGCCCAGGCTGGGCTCAAACATGATGTCTTAGTCACTTTCTCGTTGCTGAGACTTCATAATCAACACCAACAAATGAAAAGAGAGGTTTATTTTGGCTCACATGTTTAGAGGTTTCAGTCCATGGTCAGCTGGCTCCAGGACAGAAGCAGCATGGGGTAGGGGTTGACTGAGAAGGAAAGCTGCTCACATCATGGCAGCCAGGAAGCAGAGAGGGAAAAGGGGGAGGGGAGAGACACCCTTTTCAGGTCACACACCCAGCAACCCATCTTCTGTCCAGACTTCATTCTTAGCAGCAAGTCCATAATTCAGTCATGTTCCAAAAGCCCCACCTATGAGTGCATAAGGCCTCTGGCACATCTAGGTATAAACCGTAGAACTTGAGGTCCATCCTCTTGCCACATTCTCCCAGAGTGCTGGATTATAGGAGTTCACTACCATACCTGATTCCATCTATTACTATCATTTTTGCTACTCAGATCGTCCCATATTTGGCCACTGGGAATCCCTTCCCTCCTGCATTACTTCATGCCTCACAGTTTTTGAATGATTTTTTTATTGGTACATTTTAGGTATGTATAATGATCGTGTTCATTATAGAGAATTTGTACCTGTACATGATATAACTCCATTCTTTTCCTCACAGTTTTTTTTTATTTTTCTATTTATTTATTTTGTAATTTTAAAAATTAAATAACTAGCAAAACAACAATGAAGACAAAATCAAAACAACACAAAAACAACAAAAATGATACATGACCTCAAAACAAAATGGTAAGAATTTACAGTGGTTGCTACATTACATACTGTTATCTTCAATGAAGTTGTCAGTCCACCAGACATAAAAATGTAAGATTGATCAAACAAAGACAGTAAGAAGTAATAAAAAAAAAACAACAACAACATTGGAAATGATGCAGAGCTTCACTGTACAAGATGGTTCGAGTTGAACAATGGTTCTTATACCACATACTGTAGTTTTTGGATCTAGAGAAGACACTATTAAAAAACTAGAGGAGCTGGAGAACAAAATGCAAACCATGAATGCACAGAATAGAAAAGACTTAGACTCAATAAAATAGTTCCAAAAAGAAATCCATGAGATTGAAAATATGGGCAGCAGAAGTGGCTAATATGAAGACAGAGTATTATATCTAGAAGATAGAGCTGTGGTTGGTGATCTGCTAATGAGAGATACCTTAAATGCAATAAGAAAACATGAAAAATGAATTCAGTAGGTGCTAGATGATGCAAAGAAGGTTAATCTAAGGTTAACTGGAATTAATGAAAAAATCAAAAGATAGCACAAAGAGTATAAAAATCTGTTTACAAAAGTAATACCAGAAAACTCTCCAACCATGGAAAAAAGAATTTAAAATACAAATAAGTGAGTTATATAGAACTCTAAATAACCATGATCAGAAAACACCCACCCCAAGACACACCACAGTCAAAGTAGCAAATATCCAACACAAAAACTGAACCTTAAAAACCTGTGAAAAAAAGTAATGAATCTCTGTAGAGTGATTAGAATTATAGCAGACTTCTCAACACAAACCTTAAAGTCAAGGAGAGTTTGGAATTATGTGTTTCAAGACCTAAGGGAATAGAACTTCCAAGTCAAACTCATATATCCTATAAAATTGATTGAGCAATAAGATATTTCCATGATAAAGAACATCAAAAATTCATAACTACTAAATCAGCACTCAAAAAATTCTCAAGAATATCCTAGAGATGATGAACCTAACAATACTAAAACAGCCATAGAATTAATGCAAAAGACTGGGCTAGCAATTAAGTAGAAGACAAAGAAAGCAGCACAAAAATAATACAATGACAGGAATAAGTCAATACCTACCAGCTATAAACATCAATGTGAGTAGTCTCAATTCACCAATCTAAAGACATAGATTTGCTGGATGGATCAAGAAACAAGATCAAACAATATGCTATATATAAGAAACACATTTAGCCCCCTCCCATTCATAGACTGAAATTCATAGATGGAAATCAATATTACATGCAACAGGAACCTGAAAACAAGCACGAGTAGCTATTCTATTTTCAGACAAATTGAATGTAAGCCAAAACTGATCAGAAGAGGCAAAGAAAGTCACTATATATTGGTTAAGGGAACCATTAATCAGGAAGAGATAACTATTATGAACATATATGTGCCAAATAATGGTGTATCTAACTTCAGAAAACAAACATACTAGAAATAAAAGATCAGGTAAGTATCAGTACAATTACAGTTCGGGGACCTCAGTAGCCCAGTATCACAAATAGACAGATCAACTAAACAAAAATTCAACAATATTTTCATTTTCTTTTTTTTTTTGGTACTGGAAATCGAACTCAGCTCCTTGTGCTTGCCAGGCAGGTGCTTATGCCACTGAGCTATTTCCCTGGCCTCAAAATTCAACAACAAATATCAACATTGAGCCAAATCTTCAAGCAAATGGACTTAATAGATATGTACAGATTGTGCCATCCAGCAACAGAATACATATTCTTCTCAGCAGTATATGAAACTTTCTCCAAAATAGGCCACATATTAGCAAATAAAGCATGCTTAGGTAAATGCAAAAGAGTTGAAATTTTACCATACATATTATCAGATCATACTATAATGAAACTATAAATCAATTGAGAAGAAACCACAGAAATTTTGCAAATGGTACAAATTTAGCAACACACTCTTACATAGCCAGTAACTCACAGAGGAAATTAAGAAAGAAATAAGACAGTTCCTAGAATTAAACAATAATGCCAGGACAACATACCAGAACTTATGGAACACAATGAAAGCAGTCCTAAGAGGAAGTTTTTAATTGTGAATGCTCACATCAGAAAAAAAGAGCAAGCACAAATAAGTAACCTAATGATGTACCTCTGTAGGAGACTGCGAATCTTAGCATATCATTTTAGATAAAATCATTTTTTAGTAAAGGCTTAAAATGTGTCCTGGGAAACATCCTGGTGAAGCTGTAAAAGATAACTCTTCCATCAACTTTGCCCAGGAATGTTTCCCCAAGATAAGGAACACCCAGGCCTAGATAACCATCTGTGATCCTGCCTCGGTTGTTTCATCCCTCCCTAGCACTAGTTAGGTATTGTAACCATTAAGGAATGTAAGGTTGTAAAAAAGGGGAACAAACAGAACACAATGGGAGAAATATTCATCATGGTTAGACACGTGACCAGGACCTAACCTGGTCCCATGGAATAAGAGGAAAACCATATGGCCACCTGAGTCAGTGGATGTAACATCCCAATCTGTAACCATGGAAACAAAAAATGTATTTAAGAGTTGAAACAAAGACTAGCAGATGCTGACATTTCCTGACTTGTTCGTTCGGAAATGCACAATGGTCGGCCTAAATTCAATAAACTCTGTTTACCCTAGAGTTCTTTGGTCTTCTGTGGAATTCAGCCCGTTTGCTGCTACACCTCAAGGTCCTACAGAAACAAGAACAATCTAGATCCAGAGGTAATACAAGGAAGGAAATTATAAATACTAGAGCAGAAATAAATGAAATGGAGACAAAAAATTACAAAGAATCAATGAATTGAAGAACTTTTTCTTTGAAAGAATAAACAAAATAGACAAACTCTTAGCCAATCTTACAAAAAAAGAAAAGACAATACAAAATGAAAAATGTGAAATTAGGGACTGGGGATTTAGCTCAGCGGCAAAAAGCGCCTGCCTGGCAAGCGCAAGGTCGTGAGTTCAGTTCCCGGTACCAGAGAAAAAACCAAAAACAAAAAACAAAAAAACAAAAAAAACAAAAACAAACAAACAAAAAAAATGTGAAATTACAACAGACATTACTGAAGTCTAGAATATTATTACCATTTACTTCACAAACCTATATGCCACTGAAATAGAGAATGCAGAAGAAATTAAGAGATTCCTAGATACATTTGAATTACCAAGACTGAACCAAGAAGATTTAAAAATCCTGAAAAATCCAATAACAGACCATGAAGTTGAGGCAATAATAAAAAAATCTAATAACAAGAAAAGCCCAAGACCTGATGGAGTCACCAGCAAATTCTACAAGAATTTGAGGAAAGATCTAATGATCTAATTAGTTAAATCTAATGAAAGATCTAACTAATCAAACTCTTTGATGAAATTGAATGGTAAGGAGCACTTCCAAAGATACTCCTGATTCTAGGATCAGACAAGGACCCAACCAAAAAAGAACTACAGGCCAATGTCTCTAAGGAATATAGATGCAAAAATTCTCAAAAAATACTGGGAAAAAGAATGCAGCAAATTATCAACAAGATTGTACACCAATACCAAGTAGGCTTCATTCCAGGGATGCAAGGATGGTTCAACATATGTAAATCGATAGATGTGATTCATACATCAAGAAAAGCAAGGACAAAAATCACACTGTCATCTCAAAAGGCACAGAAAAATCCCTTGACAAAATCCAACATCCTAGTATGAGGACAATAGTCATAGAATGATTTTATGTCAATTTGATAAAAGCCTTTTATGACAAAATTACTGCCAACATCATATTAAGTGGGAAAAATGAAAACTTCCCCTCTGAAATTTGGAACAAGACAAAAATGCTATCACTGCTACTGTTCAATAGAGTTTTCAAAATATTTACCCAGAGTAATTAGACAAAAGAAAGAATTAAAAGGGATATGTACAGGAAAGTAAGAAGTCAAAATATCTTTACTTGCAGATGACATGATCCTCTACATAGAAGACCCCAAAATTTGACCCCAAAACTCCTAGAATTAATAACCAAATTCAGCAATGTAGCAAGATAAGTCAATGCACAGAAATTAGTAGTGTTCTTGAGCCTTAATAATGATCTTACTCAGAAAGAAATCAGGAAAACAATACCTTTCATAGTTGCATCAACAAAAATTAAGTAGAAATTAACCTAACCAAGGTGCTATGGCACTGTCAATAAAATGGAACAGAGGATGCAGAAACAACCTCAGACATATTCAACTATTTGATCTTTGACAAAGGGGCAGCAAAACAAAC